GATGCTGCTATCTGTGCGGTGGGGGGAATCCTTGCAAGTTTTCCCAATTATTTCTGTCAGCCACGTTAATATATAAACGAACAATGTGCTCAGTCTTATAAATAAATGAGACTATAGCGGATCATCTGGTGCATGCAGCTCTTTTCACCCGAATCATAAAATCTGGGTCTTCACAGATCGCCGTTTAATCTTATCCGCGGATTAATTACTCAAGCAGGGCTGTGTGCAATATTCTAACGTCAGTGCTCATTTCGGTTGTCCAAAGGCGCTAAATGCTCGAAATAGGCGCTTGTTTATCGCTCAGTCCATTGTACAGAAAAAAATAGTGATATAAAAGTGGAAAAACATAAAAATGTAGCGCTGCAGCAGGTGCCGTGGGTTTTCCAGAGAGGAGAAAGTAATAAACGTGGAATGGAGCAGCTGGGCCAAATTGCGCTCTTCTTATTCAGAGCACAGCAGAAAACCACGCCACCAGGGCCGAGGGTCAGGGTCGCCCCTATCATTAGTGAAGAAAGGTGCCATTTAGAGCAGCCTTTAAGCCTTGAAACACTGAATTGCGTGCAGTTGAATTGGTCGGTGATTTAGAATGCATGTTTATGCTGTTTGAGCCTTGCGTGACAAGCGCGCCATTGTTTGTTTACTCTGAGTTTTCAGGTGGCGTAGAACACATCTTTTAAGAATCGTTCTCGTTCACTCACGTGTAGGCCCTATACCTCACTGAAGTTGTTCTTTTATTTTCTTTTTTCTTTATTATAAGTTTTTAAACAACTAGCTACGTGAAGTAACTGACTCTTTTAAAGTTCGTTGTTTTGAGATGAAAAGAATTGGCTGATTTTTTTATTGGCTGAGTTTGTTTTTTGTTCGGTTCCGTGTTTAGAACTAATCTTTCAAGAATTGTTCTTGTTCGCTCCTGTGGCCTGTTTTACATTTAGTTCTCTTAACTTTCACTATGCGAGTAACTGATTTTTGTAACTGAAATTTCCCTCTAAACTTGGCTGACCATCTTATTTTGCAACAGGTAAGTAGAGCTATTTTCTTTGAATGTTAGAGGCTTTCGATTTATAAGCCGAATAAAAGAATAACGATGTATGGTAAAACCTTTTGCTCTACAAACCACTGTGTTTATGATAATGATGATACATTAAAATAATATGATAATTATAATGATTTTTGATGATAAAAAAATAAGTCGGATTTTAAGAACAAGACTTTAAAAGAATCTGTTGAGTGAATGATTCAATGACGCACTCGCTGAACACTAAAGACACGCAAAAAGCCTGCCTCCATCTACTGGCTTATCTGTGTAACATACAAACAGAGGCACTGAACAAATCTGAATGAATCAATTTAGAATCCGTACCCAGAATGAATCAACTATTTCTGCGTCATGGTAGCACTTTTGAACAGGTATTTCCAGACAGTACTGAAAGCACTCCTGAGCATAAGCTTTAAAGTACATTGAAAGTTAACCTCTTTACTTGTCCGTAACCTTGAGAGCATTTGTGTCTATTTAAGAAACCCAGACAAAGGCAAATTCTGCCATTGCTCCTTTAACGCAGAGTCACTCTCTGAGAAGGCCTCTTTCTGCTGCTTGTGGATGTCATGGTGTTTTCCGCGGTGCGTCATAAAGAAAAAAAAAGAGTGCCCATAGCTCTCAAAGGCACTTTGACTCGTTTTGACATGAAGGAGAGTCTAATTTTATTACTCGCTGCTGACTTTCAGGCACAAGTCGATTTTTTTATCTCCTGGAAAGAAAACTACAATCCACCGTGAACGTTAAATATATTTTGATGGTATTGTTGTTTTTATAATAATTAGGTTTGGGTGTGTCTCGCAGGCTAACGTTATACGTTCACCTTTGCTCTTGTTAAGAGCTTTCGGTTTGTTCTTTAATCACAAAGTTGAAGTTAAATCTGCTTAACTGGAACAGAGAGTGCAGATGTGTCACCCGTGGATTACCGTGAAGGCATCCATCCCTGTTTAATCTAAACTATGGATTTATGTCTGTCTCAAACAACTCTGCATCACTATGATGGATTTCAGCTGCATGACATGATTTTCTTGATTTGTTTACACTCATCTCTGTCTCATTTGACTGTCTCGCAGTAGCAGAACTATCACAGATCATTTATTAATTTCTTGTTCCTCCTGTAGTGTAATACTTTAAAGTGAACATCCACAGAAGCCAATCGCATAATAGTCTCTCCGGCCCATCTGTAAATGATGAACTGTTTAGCTTTATTAATGTTCTCTCTCGCTTTAGAATAAGTGGCACCTGAGCCATCAAGGTTATTGAGAGCCACGGTGGTGGATTATGGGGGCCGTGCCATTTCAGAGGGCCCGGAAAGTGTGGAGTCGGCTATACGGCCCGGGTTTATGGTGAGATTTTAAAGAGCCCTTTGCGCCTCGCAGTTCTGTTTATTTGGGTTGAAATTTGTAGAATGAGAAAAAGCGAGAGAGCGTTGGGGGGAAGGATGCACAGTAGTGCTGTTGTAGTCACTTTTTAGAAGAGGGCTGAAAGTTGATAAATAAGCGTTTTGTTCCGTGCCGGCGTGGGAGTGTGTGTGTGTAAGGGGCATTGGAAATGCTTTTACTGACAATGCCCTACAGCTTTCTAACTCTGATGACTGGCATCCTGCCTGTCTTTTTCTGGGTTATTGCTGCTGCACAGAGTTTTAGGAGGCAAATCAGATCTGCCTGCTTTGTTTATTTTGTGCTTGCTAAGAGAGAAGGGCAGATGTTAGAGGGGGAAGCGAGTCAGAAGCTAGGCATGTTTAAAGGCTTCTCTTTTACTGACAGCAAACTCTTTCTATTTCGCTCTCCTTTGGCTCTCTCTCTCTGAGAGTGCGAGGTGAGTTTTAGTGCCCTATAAGAAACAGATGGAAGCCTGCTTTAAAGTAAGGAAACGCCAGATTGAGATAAAGGTAAAGAGAGGAAATGAAAGGAAAAGAAAGGACAGAAGTGAGGGGAGAAGAGGCTAAATGAGAATGGCAGATGTGTCGTACCTCTTACTACAATATATCAAAACAAAAAACAATCATTCTTATAGAGATGATGATTCTACTGCAAACAAACTGCATATGGAAGCAACAGTAGCTTTGAAAGTGTTTTGATATGAGTTAATATTGAATATGAATTTCAAGTGTGTGTGTGTGTGTGTACTGTATATACTGTATATTCTTTGATTTTTTTCTTGTATTTTAGTCTTCATACATAACTATATAACAACATTTCACTTAAATTATTTTTACTCAACACTACAAAAATGTTACATGGGCTTTTATGCTTGACAGAGAGATTCAAGATCTTTGTGATTCAACACAAAGTTCTCTGGTGTCCTCTGATCATTTTAAAGGCAAAGCTTGACGGGTTAGCGTAGGTTTTTGTGTGTTTTGAACACTGAAATCCTCAGAAGGATTTCTCACGCAACTTTTGAGAGTTTGTTGCCTGCGATATTGTTGACGGCTAAACAAAAGTGAGTTATGAACCAGAGTCTCAGCTGTGAGATTTCACGAACAATGTGGCCGTGCTCATTGATGAATGTAATGATTATTTTAATAAGTTCTGCGTTTGATGGCACGAGCATGTTAGCGCTTGAGCGGAGGGGATATTTTTGCATCAGATTTTATTGACACTCTTTTATCATTCTAGCAGGCATGTCTATCATATATGTGCTGGAGGGGGTGGGGAACGGGTTTATGGAAAGATGGACTATTACCCTGATGAAAAAAAGAAAGGAGGAGGGGGAAAAAATCTGATTTATGGTTGATTCATTATTTACTGACCAAATTCCCTCCCCCAGCACGGGCCTGTCTCTGTGACCCCTCCCCTCTCTTACACTCCTGCCTGCTAAAAGCTCAATAAAAATGCACAAATGTGATTGATTCTAATAGCAGACCGACAGAGCTTCCAGCTGGGCAATTTTAGCATGCACATGCATGTGCGTATGTGCGAGTGTGAGTTTTTTTTAGTTCTTGCCTCTCTTTAATTAGAAGTGCATAGGTCACATGTGTAAAAGGCCCAACCCCCTATCATGACCTGTCAAACTGTCACTTCACACATTTGACATTATGCACCTTTCAGTCAACACATAAATGTGCTATATATGTGCTGTCAGTATATTATATTAGTTAATGCATTTACACAGATATTTACAAAGATAAATGTGACTTTTTATTTTTTTCTACCAGTTTATATGTGGGTCAGTGACAAGGTGCTCATGTATTTTATTTTATTTTATTTTATTTTGTAAATGCATCTATTCATATATACAAAATTCTGTTTAAAATCAATTTATACTGTACATACAACGACTTAAATACATCTCTGAGCATGATCATGTACTTAATTTTCTAAATTAAAAGACTTTTTGAAATTTTTGTGGTACATGAAATGTATATATCAGAAATGTGTGTGTATATATATATATATATATATATATAAAATAAAATATCACTATATAACTATACGTATTTATAAATAATTTAAAAATTAATATTAATATTTGAAAAACTTCTGTCTTCCAAATCATTGTCATATGTAATATGGAAAAAAAAATTACAAAACTTTTCTTAAAACTGGCATAAGAGCTTTAAAACCACATGAAACCAACGTGGATACAAACAGTACATTTCTAAGACATGTGTTTTAAATTAGATTTTTTTTTCTTCCTTTTCTTTACCATGGGTGCTCCTATATATCATTGACCCAGGTGTGTGTTTGTGCGATTGTGCACTTGTGTGTGTCTTGCTATTGGGATGGAGGGGGTTGTGTTTCCTGTGCTGAGGCTGCTGGTTTCAGATGCAGGTGGACAGGTGATGAGATGATCTGGCCGTTTCACTGCTGAATCAGTCCGTAACAGCATCCGAACCGAACGCTCCTTTGCCCTCGCTCCGCAAAACTCTTCCAACTGCCAGCGCAGATGCTGACATGACTGTCTTTTCCCCTCATTTTCATTTTTTTTTCATTTTCACTTATTGCCTTCTCTCTCTCTCAAATAGAAAATGAGTACCGGGGGAAACTCCTGAACCAGCGCTGGACGCGAGGAGACAAGATCAGCCACTGCCGGCCCTCTCTCAGACTGCAGAGCCGACCAATCAAAGTGAGTTGCACGGGCCCGCCCGGCCAATCATCATGCAGAAACTCAGGCTTCCTGCCAAGTTGGCACAATTAGAGGCGAAAGAGGGTTTTACATTTATGACATTCATCAGTTCTGTCTGTCAGCACACTGTGAAAGGAAGTCAGCGTTGTATTACCGCAATGTACGCAGTTCATGCCAGCTTGACCTAGAATGGGTTTTGGCAGAGCAAACTAACCCCCCTCTGAATGAGCCGAGTTTTTTAAGTGTCCCGCGTCCCGTAATTATGAAGAATTGGGCTGTTCGGCTCAACCTAATTTCATTTTTATAGCTTTCTTGCATTATTTAGGAAAACTGGAGAGGTTTGAAAGTGGGGATGTCCTTGAGCTGCTTTTGTTTGCTATCTTTCATCAACATAAAAGAAAGTCTCTCCCTCTCTCATCCTATCACCTCCCCCCTTTCCTTTTTCTGCTTAGGTGTGTGTTTTTGCCTTTAAGTGGATGCATCCCTTTTCCTCCTCTGTCACTCTTTCTTCTTCACGCTTTTTATTTGGAACAGCCCATTTTTTCAACCATCTATCTCTTTCACTTCTGCATTGGGAAATTCATTGGAAGATATTTCTAATGGGGGGCTCTGGGATGGGGAGAGAAAAAACAAGAGCGAGTAAAAGCGAGAGAGAGAGAGAGTCCTCGCTCTCTCCCGTGGGCCCATAAATGTATTTTTTTCACTCTGATGGAAAGGGTTCATCTGAAGCGATTGATTTATTGATCTAATTTGAAATGTTTAAAGGGTTGCAGTCGCAGGCAGCTCTTTTAAGAGCATCCAATTAGATAATACCAAACTCCGACTGATCAGCGTCATCCAACTGTGTGCAGAGGAATCAGAGCCAAGCTTATTCTCATACTACCACACGCTCTTAAAAGAAAACACATGAGCGAGTGCGCATTTATACACACACGCATAAACATAAAGCTCTCTCGGTTGTCAGTCAGAGCGTTAACTCTGCTTCCCTGATGGATGGCTCAGATCTCCTTGGCGACCGTATCGGCCTCCTTTAATTGGCCGATGCTTTCCGCAGGTAATTTTGGAGATGTCAGTAGTCCTGTCACTCCAGTGACAGTTGCCACGCCAGGCCCGGTTGCGTCCTTTTCTTGTAAATGCGAAAATGAATAAAAGCCTCATTTATGCGCACAGGAGGAGGAGGGGTGACCTTCTTTGTGAAGTCATTGCCCCCAGCCAGCAATTTACATAGAGCTGTCAGAAGAGCACGAAGGAGTGACTCCGTCCGCTTGTATGGAGAAGAGAGGGACACAATTAATAATGTAGCACGCGGCCCGAAGGGATGCGCGGACGTTCTCGCACTCAGAGCGGTAAAAAAAATGTTGGCTTTATCTTACCGTTTTTCTGCCAATTTTTCAGACGTCCCCAGTTCTCAAAATCACTCACTCATTTCTCCGCCAACGGTAGTAATTAAAACGCCGGGGAAGGACAGGTTTGAAAACATTAAAAGGCCTTTGAACGATATTACGAAAGAAAGATGACACCGTCTTGCCCGTCGCAAACACCTCCGCTTCATTCAGATTTAATGAGGCGGAATTCAAAATAAAAAAGCAATGCAAACTCTGAAGCGTTCACCTGTTCGAAAGAGATGCGTAGCTATGGTTACACAAACATGAAAGCCACACGGGCCCTGTTTGATTCATGTGTTGACACTAAGGAGACAGCAGTGGAAGACCAGAGGAAGCTACAGTGGGAAAAGAATAAAACGACACGCATCTGCCCCTGGCTTTTGTGCTGGGGGTCAGAGTGGTCACAAAGCTTGTTTCGGAGATACAGAGAGGGCATAGAAGCCTCACAGATGGGCGAACCACACACAACACAACGCACAGTGTTTGCGTCCGCCGTCTCCCGGGGGCTATTTGATCATCAATGTGAGAAAACTTTCCTCTCAGGCCGGCGAGTCGAGCTCAGAGTGTGAGAAGCGAGTATCGGCGTGCATAAAGCCGGCTTGTTGCCGGAGAGCACGTGTGCTTGCGATCAAAACGCCCCTGGGAGAGGAAGAGAGACTCTCTGTGCACCTGTCTGCCCGGATACACACACACAGCCAACTTTCATCACCCCGTACGCAAACTCCCTCAAATCGAACACAACACACTCATTATCCGCCCGTTCTGAAAAGTCAGCAATCAACAGGAAGTGGCACTGCCAGAGAGAGTGCGCAGGGATAAAAAAGAAAGAGAAAGGGAGCGTGTGAAAGAGAAACTCCTCTGTGAAAGTGCAGTGTGCCCTTGCCAGCTCCAGCGCTGTATTAAAGGCGGCAGCTGGGAGCGGGGTGAGCAGCGCTCGCGGAGGGTCAAAAGGAGAGAGTTTCGTGGATTTTCAAGGATTCCGTTCCATTTAAATCGCAGTAAAGTAATCAAAGCTAATGGCGCCATTGTGCCACCAGAAAAGATCCAATGGCTTTACAGTGAGCAGACTTCCCTGCGTCTGTGTGTGTGTGTGTGTGTGTGTGTGAGCGAGATTGAGAGGATTGACACCTGCTCCTTTTGTGCCAGAAAGCGCAGCGAGTGTTGCGATCGGGGACTCAGTGCGGGAGGAATTTACAGTGATTTGGAGTGCCTGTGTTTGTCTTATTTCTGTCGCTGTGGTTAATATTGCTATTGTAATTACCACTCGAGCTTGCCATGGGGCCGTGAACGCAAATGGGTTCCTCTGGCAGATGCCATGCTCTGCTGTGTCCATCCAATCAGATTGATTGTTCAGGGCCTCTAAATTATAAGCTGATGGGGGGTACAGAAGGGTTAGGAGGGAGAAAACACTGAAAATGTACTCAGATTTAAAGGTTGTTCCATCCATCCATATATCTACCTATCTATCTGTTGTCTGTCTATCCGTCTGTCTTATCTCGGTCGTTTCTTCTCTATCTATCTATCTATCTATCTATCTATCTATCTATCTGTCTGTCTGTCTGTCTGTCTGTCTGTCTTTTGTTCTCTCTGTCTGTCTATCCATTTGTCTGTCATTCTTTGTCTATCCATCTCTTTGTTGATCTGTCTATCTTTCTGTATTAGTGTTTGCAGTATAAAAGAGAAAAAGTGCTCAGTGAGTATTTACAGTATGAAAGTGTGCTTCTCATACATTATTCATGACTTCATTAACCTGAATGTATGGTGTGTGTGTGTGTGTGTGTGTGTGTGTGTGCGTGTGCGTGTTAGCTTGTCTGACTCTCTTTCTCCTCCATCTATCGCTCTAGTCCTGACTCTCTCAATTTCTCTCTGACAGATGAGTTTGGATACTGATGACAAGCGCACTCGCACACGGTCCAAAGCAGGAAGAGGTCAGTGAACCCTCTCTCTTTCTCTCGCTCTGTCTTTCTCTTTTTCTCTCACCTCTAAAACTCATTTCTTTCACTGGTCAGCTGAGCATGTCTTATATGTTCGCTCTAGGCATATCTAATATTTTAGCTTCTCTCAAATAATCCTGCTCTTGGAGTCTCTAGAGGTCCTTTTGCAAGAAAATCCTATTCACTATGTAGCATTCAGTAAGTTTAAATGGAGCTTTGTGAGAAAAAAAGAGCATTCAACCAAACGCTATGTCGAAAGTTAAAGAAATGCTTTGAAATGTTACAATTTTATATGCATGACCAGATTACCCAACTGTTTGTTTTTAGAGGAATGATCTGGGTTCAGTAAAAGTTCAGCTCTATGGACAGCATCTCCAACATATACCACCATCAGTAATTCTGACTCATCCCTCAGCTTGTAAGAAATTGTTTATAATACACATGCAATAAAAAGTCTATGGGTTAAGCCATCCAGGAAGGTTAAAGCACTTTAACTCTGCCATACACAAATGTGTTATTTGAGCTGTAAATCATCCTTTTAGTATAGGGACTTTCATTATAGTCAGCAGAACTTATGGTTATGAATTATTAATTTATGTAGGTGGAGTTTCAATTACAAGACACAAGAGTTCCATACTATAGTACTTTACAAAATAGCAATGCCACATTCATTACTAGTATCCTGATGCATATAATGTTAATGTTGACACTTATATGGTCATGAATAGAGTTTATTTTCAGTTTAAGTAACAGACTGTTTTTGCTGGTTTTAGAAATTCTAAATGCACTGAACCCAACATTTCTCTATAGATAATATATTGCATTTATCTCTTCTTTGCATTACTTTTCTTTGACAGTTTTTATTGTTTTAAAATGAATTGAATTGATTAGAGAAAGGCTGTTCTTTTAACCGTCTGCAGTTTTGTTCTGATTTCACCACTAAACTAAACTGTGACGATTAATCATATTTTTGTGCTGATTTGTGCATATTGTACATTTTTTTCCATCATCAAGGCTTGATGTTTTGGCTGACTCAGGTGTTTGTGTCTATGTATATATATATATATATATATATATATATATATGTACTGCATGTGTGTGTGTGTGTGTTTTCTCTTGGTAATGCAGTCATGAGTCTTACTGCATATGGCCTCCTGGGCTCTATATATATTTGTGATTTATTGATTGTGGTTCTGTGCAATTATTTGCGGCTTTAGATTTTTCTGCTTAATTTTCTGTTCCTGATTGTCTCTCCCTCTGCAGTTCCCTCAGAGATTGTTGGACAGGAGCTGAGGTAAGACAGATTAGTTCTGTAAAGTTAAATATGCCATTTTTCTCCTCTGCAGCAATTTTTTCTTTATGTTTTAAATCCACGTTTGATCATGTTTTGGTTTGCAATGCACGCCGCTTTACAAACAAAAACCATTTTAATGTCACAACCAAACTCATTTTCAACAGTTCGTATCATCAACAAATTTACTGACAGCAATAGAAATCTTCTATATGTGTGGAGTCCACAGGTTATTTACACCTTGTGCTTTTGCTTTGCCTGATCAAGCATTTGTTTCAGATGGCCAGTGTCTGCTAGTTCCTATAGACCCAACAACACAAAATCTGTGCGTGAGGGATATTAAAGCCTCGTATTCTCAGCTTGTCAAGTTATTCTCTACATTTTCCTCTGACGGTCAAGTGCGCTATGAAGTTTACAAGAGTGGAATTTATAACAGCATCAAAACACTCGCTAGCCATCAGGGTCACTGAAGCTGCTCACGGCCGTTTTCTGTCACAGATCTTAAACAGCTTAAAAGACGACCTCAAAAGATGCATTCATACTGCAGCAGAACAGAATAATAAATACTTCAAGACATGATATGTTATGTATATAATTGGATTTGTTAGCCATAATATTGTATTATTGATCTTGTGTGTTTTTCTATACAGTACATACAAGATCGATATTATGTTAGAAGTTAATAACATATTCTATTATATATATATATTAAATATTGTATATATATTAAAATGCATGTGAACACAAGATTCAAGTTCAAATCGCAACCCTCTTTGCAGGTAATAAACGAGAATGCCAATGAAACAAATGTACAAAATATTAGGGATTTCTCCGAAAGACAGAAGGGATTTCATGAAACGAAAGAAGGGCCACCACAGGAAACGAAAATCAATCACAGCTCCATCGTATTGACGAAACAATTGTTTTGCTAAATTTAAAAATCGATGTTTGTTTGTTTTGTGCTGGCCGTGGAAATGCGGCTCCTGATGAACTATTTAGCACACAAGCACCACGAAAAACCAAAAAAAGCTATAAAGCATCTCTAATTTGACCCCATCTATCTGTTCAGCTGCCCTACTCCAGGATGCAATGGCTCAGGCCATATCAGTGGCAAATATGCCCGACACAGAAGGTACAACAGATGACATGCCCGTGTTTTGCTCCGTAGCCCCTGATTCACCTCCCTCTGCGGCCACATAGCCTTTCCTGATCCCAAACGCTGTTTAGCCCGTAGACTAGATCATCTTAATCTTCATCTCTTCCTCTGATAATGACAATCTCTCTCTCTTAGTCTCCCTAATAGAGGTCTTTAGGCAGGGTATTGATTATTGGGTAAGATTTATTTGTGGATCTCATTCTATTTATTTGTGGATCATAATCTATTTATTTGGAATTAAGCAACAATTCTATCTCCATAAATGGCTGTGATTTTATAAAGGCTTTTAGCCAGCACACTGCCCCCTACAGGTCAATATCCAACATTGTTCCATTTCTCATCTGAGTTTCCATAGACTGTTTAGCATGGCATGCTTGGCTTGCATGCGTGTAGTTTGCATGTTTTCATTGTTTTTACACTAGCACTGTAAAAGTCCTTAAGGTTGTATTTCTTATCGAAGATCTTTCTTCTTCTCTTATAGTGCTTTGAGTTGCCCATTGGCCAGAAAAAGGCACCTACAGGAAGCAGAGTCAGAGCAACCTGCTTCCAAGAGGAAGTCTCACCCGCTGAAGCTGGCGATGGATGAAGGATTCAATGCGGAGAGTGAGGGGAGCGGAGAGGAGACAGAGTTGAGGGAAGAAGAGGAGGAGGATGAAGAACAGGTGAAGCAGAAAGTTAGCGATCAAGAACATGAAGAAGAGGAGCAAGCGAAACAGAACACAGAGACCGCCAATACAGAGGAGGAGGATGGTGATGAAGGTGAGTGATCAAAAATTTTTTGTTGTTGTTTTGGGTGATGAATACAGTTATATTCATACAGAGATTGGTTATACGCTCTGTAACCGAAGTGACTGCTGTACATTTTTAGAAGTCACAACCTGATTTAGAGAGCAAATTTCATTCAAAGGAATTGCACTCAACAGCTAGTTGACTGTTACATCATTGACATTGACACACAAGCATTGCACGCTTTCTGGGTTATTCTTTGCTGTCAATGTTGGAGCTCCAAACTCTCTCAGGTGACAATAAATGTTAGAAAATAAGGTGTTGTGCAGTAAGAAAGCATTCTTGTTAAATGTTGAAGGAAAGGGGAAAAAAAACAGAACCCAGAGCATAAAAGCAGTTGTCAAAAACAGTTTAGAATAAAATCAAATCCTTTACGATCCAATACAAAGTCTTGAAAATAGATACTTTCTTCTGTGAAACAGAAAAGAAGATATTTTGAAAAATGTCTGGGTTTTTTTCTTTTGTACATACAATGAAAGACAACATTGGACCCAACTGACTTTCATTATATGGAAGAAAACACTGACACATCAAAATATCTCTGTTCCAGAGAAGAAATTATACTGGTTTAGAACGACATGAGGGTGAGTAAATAATGACAAAATGTTCATTTTTGGGTGAACTATACCTATAATATCTAGGCTTTACTTTGGACTCTTGTCCGTACAGACAGTATTCAATCTGCTTCTGATGCTGTAGTATGTACTGGACAATTTGAGAGTCAAACCTCTGACAATGTAAACATATCTTTAGAAAACTACACATTTTAACATTTGTGTCTCTCATACAGAGGAGTGCATCATCATTGAGACGTCATCCTCTGAGGATCTCTCTAACTATCAGCACATAGTGGCCAACTCAATGACGCACCTCAACAACCACAACAACGGTGCCATGTCACCCCAACAACAACAACAACAGTCCATCACAGTGGAAACACAAGATAAAAGCCCTTTTAGGGAACCAGAAGAAGAAGAGAAAGAAGGAAATGAAACAGAGGAAACAAGGAACCAAGTAGGAGTTCTGATGTCTAAAGAGAATGGAGTGATGAAAGGTGAGATTAAAGATGAAGAAGAGGACATGCACACTGAGAGCCAGAGGGAGTCAGACCACCAGTATTTTACTGAGGAGATGGAGACACAACATGCTGAAGAAGAAGAAGATGATGATGATGATGATGATGATGATGAGGTGTTGAGGTCTGAGATTAAAAGAGAAGAGCCATACAAGGAAGTTCAGTCTGAAGAGGAAGGGGAGAGAGAAACCACCCCTTCGGTTATCACTGCCGCTCAGGGATCTCACGCAAGGGAAGACTATGTTTCCCACAAACTTACATTGCCAGAAAGCTACAGCTCTAGTAAGGCCGCCACATCATCTCATGTGGTTATCGAAGTGCAGTCTGAGGAGTCAGAGAGGGATGCTGACTTGGAAGGTAACGATGACGATGACGATGGCGATGACGACAGCTTGTCTCAACGATCAACGGTTGCGGACGAGTCTGAGATGTTTGACATAATGCGGGGGAACTTGGGCTTGCTGGAGCAGGCCATTGCTTTGAAAGCCCAACAGGTCAAAGCTCATCGTGAGCTCAGCCGCATTCCCGAACACCACCGCTTCTTTCCTCTCAACGACCGATCAGGCAAACACATGGAACATATCCGCAAGAGCTGCTTCGGAAAAGGTCAGATATTTGTCATTTTACCTACCAACCCCTATATAATTTCTGTTTTCTTTCAAATTTAGGGATGTAACGATTCACTCAACTCACACTTTCGTTTCCATATAACTATAAACTATGATAAAAGTTCATCAGCATGCATTGAATAATCCCATGTTGTAGCGCAAATTGCAACCAAATAATGTGCTCGTGCGACCAGCTGAGACAGTTAGTTGCAAAAGAGCGACCAGTGGGAAGAATGAGTCTGGAGCCCTGATATGCATTATACAGAGGCAAGAGGGAAAGAAAAAATACCATCGAAAGACAGTAAGTTCCCCTCAGACATACATTCATATAAACTCCTACCCCTAACTGAATCGCGATTTGTTTAGCATCACAACCGATTTGAATCGTCACATATTTAAATCGATTTTCAACCGGCTCGCGGTTAATCGTTACATCCCTATTGAAATTAAATTGTGACAATTTTAGTAATAATGTTTGTACAAAATCTTTACATAGTCTTCACATCATTTTTTGTCTAAAACCATTCTTACGCAAACTTGTCGTATCAATGCGACTATTTGTGCAAGCATGGTTATGTTATATGATAGTAAAAAAACTTTTTGTAAATTGTATATAATCTGATGCAATTTATATAAGAATGCTTATGCAAAGTCTTTGCATAGTATCTTCATAGTTTTTAGTAGGGGTGGCACGATACCATTTTTTCAGAACCGATCCCGATCCGATACCAAAAGTTCTGAGTATCGAACGATACCGATACCGATTCCATACCAGCACAGTTTTTTTTTTCTATACCTCAGTGTGTGTTGACCTGATCATCACTCTTTTTTGTGTTACACACAATCTACTAAATATAGACAACTTCATTATAAAGAAAAATAACAAATTAAAAAATATATAAAAGAAAAATACTATTATAAACTAGGATAGTGGATAATTCAGCAGCAAAGGTTACGATAACACTTTCTATGAAGCCCGTATTTATAATACATTATAAGGGTATTCTTAAGGCATTATAATGAATGCATAATGCATTATATAAAAACTTATAATATGTTATATCAACTCATGAATAATCATAACAACAGTTATAATACATCATAATACTTACATATTTGTGGTTATAAGTTTAAGAGTATGATTATTTATAACACACAATGAACACCATATTAAATCTACTTCATTTACAGAATAATGGACTGTATCATATCTTGACATTGTTTATTTAAGATCTGCACAGTATCTTACTACAGCTTGTGAGTGGTTAGATGTTGAGTGTTATTTGAGTGTTTCCTGTGGAGCTAATGTTAATTAATGGATGTGAGCTTTATACTCCACCTGAAAAAAATGCAATGTTTTATATGGTTACATTTTATTTTGATGGCCCCCTTAATCAATCGACTATAAGCAACTTTGCAACTACATGCCAACTAACTCTCATTAGAGTATTAGTATGCTCAAGAATGGTAGAATCTAGTATGGTAGAATAAGTTGACGTACTTGCAAAAAATGAGGCAGCAACATATGATAGATAAGACAGAACAAGAAAGGCTATTAACAATATTTCATTGCGCAAAACTATTATAACATGAAAGGCTCCAATACAGAGCGGCACAAAGCGCTTATGCGCATCCTGTGCGTAGAATGATACGCTTGAAGCAACACGGAGTCACAGCGCGCAGTCAGTGTAGTGATCTCTAACAGACACCCTGTAGAAAGTGACATGATTTAGAATTAGCACTAAACTCCAGCAAGATAAATTCCTTTTATGCAAAACCACTGATGTTTATCTACAGATCAGGTATAATAATAGGAACATTATCATCTTAGAGAGTGTTTCGTCATCTTGACTGTCGTAACCGAACGCGACGCGCAGTTTGAATGCTGAATGGAGGATGACAGACAGCCGAAGTGGAGAAGAGTTTACTGGAACTTGAATTTAACGACTTAAATATTCATCTGTACTTCACATTAAACTGTGGAACGGTCTCAGAACACTTGAACTATAGTGCACGGAAACTTTATGGTGCTTTATAATGTTTTTGTGCCTTTCGTGGGGCTTAACAATAACACCAAATAGTATATGCACAATATCGGATTTGGATCTGCCTCGTCTGACGGATACCCCGATCCAGCAAAAAGTGGTAGTATCGGAGCGATACCGATACTGAATATCAGATTGGCGCACCCCTAGTTTCTAGAGGAAAAAAAGTAAACTGATCCATCAACATGATTGTAAAGTTTTTACAGTCTTTACGTATTACAATTTTTACGTAAAAAGTTATGAAAATGCTTTGCACAACCATCCTTACATAAATTTTTGCAGTAATGTGATCATTTATCTGCAAATGATTTTTTAATGAAAAACTATGTAAAGATGTTGCACAACCACTGGTGTATCAGTTAAATTGAAGTCTATAAACAATTTGCACAAAACTTGATTTTTTACGACTTAACTATTTTAACAATATTCTTGTGTAAATTGTATGTACTGTAATTTTACATAGTTTATATATAGACCTCTCATAGTATATTCATGACTTTTACAAAAAAATGGAAATTGTTGCATTAATGCGACAATTTGCATAATAATGGTTGTATGAATTAGCCTAGATTGTGTTCATTTGAGTCCAGTTGATTAAAGAATCGCATCGTGAAAATGTACACAACACTCATTTTGTGTACAGAAATTCTTCCTGCTTGTGTTTGAGCAATGAATTTATACACACTCTAATGCCACAAACCATTTCATAAGTGCACTCAGAGTGCTATTTAAACTTCGCACATATGCATTTTTCAACACACCCTACGCAAGTGCTCAAATATCAACAAATTCTCATAAATAAACACCCACACATGATTAATCAGAAAAAAGATTAAAATGGCAAGCTCTCGCTCAGGCAAAGAACTGCAAGATTAATACTGGGGGAAGCAATCTGGAGAGTATAAATGGGTCAAATGAATTGGTTTCCATAGATAAACTCCAGCCTTAGTCTATAATTACTGAAGCACTTAGAAAGAGAGAGAGAGAGTGCGAGTGAGTTGAAAGGGAGAGAGGGTGTGTGTAATTAGATTGGTTTGGCACGTGTTTATTTGTTTATTGGTTTTGTTTGTGGTGTTGTTCTGCTCTTGGTTGGCACCGTGCCCGGTCCGTGTGGCGCTGGATTCAGCCGAGCGCTCGGTAGGGCTCCACACCCCCTCTATAACTGGCCTCCTCACGCTCCGACCAGTTTTAATTAGGAGGTGCATGTCTCGTTAACATTTCAACATTTAATTAAGGAGCCACTGGAGCGCACATGCAAGCTCTTTCTCTCTCTACGTCTCTCACTTTCTCTCTTTTTTCTTTTTTTCTCTCTCCCGTCTGTTTTTCATGTTTTTCGCTTCTGCCTTTGTCCTTGCACCTTCGTTCATTTACCTTGGACCCCACATACTTATTCACTCTCTCCTCTTGTATAATATGGAGATGTGCTTTGCCAATGGTAAAGTCTGTTTAATGAGCTCCATTTTTCAGTAGATAGTCCAATAAACCCCAGCGCACCCTCACTGAAGATAATAATCCTGTATGGAAACATCCACCTGCCCAAACGCATAATGACCGTAATTATCACCGTAAATGTGCCCTCTCATGGGTCCAGAGGCAACTTTAACAACTTCCAGAGAGCATGAAACCGGAGAGCGTGTTTGTGCGCAATGTGTGTGGTAATATGCCCGTCTGTTGTACGTTTCTGTCCTGACAGAAGTGATAATGTCTTCAGATAAGGTTTGACTGAGGAGTATTGGAAAAATAATTACTTTCCTTCAGGAAGCATGTCTGTGGTCAGACAAAGCAATGCGGATTATGAAAATAATAAGCAGTCCTCTCTTATTGTGTTATTCTGATTTAAATGAGCGTCAGTTCACTGAGAAAGCCCATTAAGGGAAGATGTCGACAATGAGAAGTCACCAGAGAGACCTTTGACGGCTCCGCATGCCACCCCTGCTAATGGGATGCACTGACTAATGAAGAGACAGGAAGCAGAGGGTAATATACTTTACATGCCATTGTCATGCAGATCATAACGCACGTAGGTGTGTGCGTGCGTGTCTTCCTTCAAACCGTGTCTGGTTCACGCCTGAAATCCGTTAATGATGTTAAATACAGAACACAGTGTCATAGTCCGCAATGACACGGACACCCACATGCTAGCATTCTTTAGCTAGTTTCCAAAACCTAGCAAGCCGCCTACTGCCTACTTCTAAAACAGCATCCTAACCCTCACTGAAGCATTTAGAATGTTCTACATGAGCAGCACTCCACACTGCAGCCTCAACTCGCAATGGAGTTTGACCAAGGAAAGTCATTTCAGGATTGCAAGACCAATTCCTACCTACTTGAATAAGGTACATTACAAAATGTTAAAAACTGCTTGCCAAGTTCACATTTCAAATACCTTATTCCGAATCAGCAACAAAATCTGATTTTGAAAAACGTTTTTTCAGTCAAATAACATTAAAAATGCATATTTGAAGATGGTCCAGCTAATGCGCATGTACTGTCTGTAGTGTACATTTCAGGATACTGCCTGTTTTTATGGAAACCGTAGCTTCTAATGGCAGCTGCAGTGATGCAATTACTTTATCAATTGGCGATTGGCTCTTTTATTTGGAAGGCAGAACTTATTTCACCGTATTTCTTTCTCATCCATAGTACTATGTGTGAACCATCTTGGTATATAGTTGCTAAGCTAATAGCTCAGTATTCTAATAAGCACAGAACTGCACAGCATAGACAGAGTAAAATAATCAATTTTAATTACATTGAATAATATTCCTCGCATCATCTGCCATTGCAATTCCTTCTGGGATTGCCTTCTCTGTGAAGGACACATGCACTGCTGCAGCCTTAGAATTTAGTTAAAAATGTGACATATTAGGAAGCTGCTTATGTTAAGCTGCAGTGTTCACATCGGGAGCATCTATGATGCTTTAAAATGCCGCCTCAGTAGGCAGCTCACTAGTTTCTGGAGCACAGCAAATGTCTTTTCAGAGTTTTTCTTTAGAACAGAGAAAGGGCCGCAAGGGCTCACGGTTCTTCAGGAAAAGGAGACCGTTTTAGGGCTTCAATTCCATGCTATACGATATGCTAATGTGCTCAGTGCTGATAAGACACTATTTAATCCTCTTCTCCTTCAGTCATCCTGCTTTAAAATGCTCTCTCTCTCTCTCCCATTTACTCTTTTACCGGCTATTTATCTGTGGGACTTTTCCTTCCTTTTTCTTTTTTGCTGTATCTTTGGCTCATTGTCAGTCTTTCAATTCCGCTTCTCTTCTGCTGTCTAATTCCAGCCCACTCTTTCACTCTTGATCTTTTATGCTCACTTACACTTATCCTTTTATGCTTCTTTTTTCTTCACTGCAGGGATATTGATTCTTTTGTGGAGGAAAAAAATGATGGAACCTTCTCTCTCTCGCTCGCTACCCATTTTTGCAGGCCCATGTGTTTTGTGAAGCAGTTGGAGATTCCTCCGCACGGCAGCTACAGGCCCAGCCTCGTCCCCGCCACACCACGCGCTAATCTGGCCAAGGAGCTGGAGAAGTACTCCAAGGTGTCCTTCGATTATGCAAGCTTCGACGTGCAGGTGTTTGGCAAGCGCATGCTCGCCCCAAAGATGCACACCAGCGAAACTTCACCCAAAGCCTTCAAATGTGAGCAGGTTTAGTCACGGTTTATGAACACTATGTATAATACACTCCTTGCAGGCAGAGATGTGTGTAAATGGTGTGCTTTGTGAATAGTACGGCTAAGGTTTGAGATTCTTCATTGTCGTACATCAAGGTTAGCAGTAAGTGAGTTTGGTAGAGTGCTCTTCAATGAATGGATCAAGTACTATTTATAATACTAAAATTACTATTAACTAGAGCAATGTTCTCTTTTCCCCATAGCCAAACCTCCATTCCCCAGGGCCTCCCCCCCAAGTCCCAGCTTGCACAGTGGTTATGGAAAAAGCTCCTCCAGCGGCTATGATTATTCCCATGATGCCGAAGCTGCTCACATGGCCGCCACTGCAATCCTCAACCTGTCCACACGCTGCTGGGAGAGACCAGAGAACCTCAGCATCAGACACCAAGATAAGGTACAGAACATAATCTCATGTAACAGACAAATGCAATCGGAGTTATATTAAAAAATGTCCTGGCTCTTCCAAGCTTTATAATGGCAGTGAATTGTGGACGTGATTTTGAAACCCGAAAAAGTGCATCCATCCATCATAAAAAGTACTCCACGTGGCTTTAGGGGTTAATAAAGGCCTTCTGAAGTGAAGCGATGCATTTGTGTAAGAAAAATATTAATATTTAAAACTTTATAAACCGTAATCTTTAGCTTCCGCTAACTGTCGTACGCACGTTCACGAAAGAGTGGCATTCCAGCGGATGACGTAGTAGGATACGGTTTACTTCTACTGAAACTTCTGTCATTTAGTAGAATAACTAATTTACTAAAGACAGCACTCACTAGCTTAAAACAAACAGTCGGCAAACACTAGCACCCAGACATTTCCAGTGCCTATAGATTAGTGTTTCTAGTAACCAACTGAAAGTAGTGATGCTAATAACTAAACAGAAACATTTTTAGTAGCTTAGCTGTTTTGATAATAGAGCAGGTATTAGCTAACAAGCAAATTTTTCATACAAGTATTGGGTAGCTTTGACAAAACACAAGCTAGCTGAGGCAATAATCAAACTTTTTTTCTCAAGTAGCATTAGGAAGTAATTTGAGCAATTTTGTTCATTTGGATTCATTCTCATTTCATTGCAAAAAATCACAAATTCTTTTGATCTAAATCTTTGATCAACAGTGTTCTCTATAAAGAATTTTACTTGTTTTGTAGTAAAATAAAATGTAGCTTAATGCAGCTGTTTTTGATTCATTTATTCAAATTAGGCTGTTTTCTAGGCTTATTAGCTACATTTAGTTCAGTATGTGTTCAAGTGTGATGCTGGCACTCTAATTAAGATCCTTATTGTTTCTATTGTGCCAGATGAATGCTGCTCTGATTTACTCTGATCTACTTTAGATGGCTTAACTACTTTAAATTATGAGTAGCTTAGCAGGCTACAGTTTTAAACTAGCTTCTACAACGTCACACCATGTGTAGATGTATAATAGTTAATAAGAGTGGTTTATAATGGTTAGCATCCATCGATTGAAGAAATACTGTCTCTATGTGTGATTGCTCTTCAGCAGGGTTTGTATCAGATGAACGTAGCGTTAGCGAGAATGCGTTTGCTTGCTGTTGGGATCTTATTGCGTCATCTCTCCTCCCTTTCATCTGTCCCTCCGTTCGTTTCATCCTTGTCTCCTCTTCATGTTGTTATTGCATTAAGTTGATAGTGAGCTCCCTAGATAGGGCAGGACCAGGTGCTCCATGTTCTTTTATTCAATATTTCCATGGTTAATGCAAATGAGGGCATCTCTCTCTCATTCCCTCTATTTCCTGTCCCTTTTTTCTTTCTTTTCTTTCCTTGTGCCTTTGAACACCCAAAAATACAATCTATCAGCCTCTCACCCCCCTCCTCCGTCTGAGAACTCTGGGATCTATACTGTAATTGGAGAAGCTCTGTCCTTGATATTGTGATTTTTAAAAAAAGCTTTCTCCTCAGCCCAGGGAGTGACTACTTCATCATTTTTCAATTTCCTGACATGTTTTTAGCAGAAGGGGATAAAAGGTGAAGATTAATGGGCAGAAAGGCCCAGTGGCTCAACGCTAATCAGACTGGGTGTCTACTGTGTGTGCACATCTCCAACTTCATATTCACACTCAAATATGTAAACATGCCCGTTTTAGCACTAATCCATGCATCATCCATCTACATACAATAGGAATGTATGTAATGGATGTGTTTTAAAATGTGTACTTTGTTGTTAAGCTTTATTCCGTGTTTGTTTGTTATACTCAAATTTTATAATTTTACTTTTTTAAAGTTCATAATTTTACTTTTCTAAGCAATAGCATTGCACTGCCTTGGCCTACAAATACCCACTGCATTTACAAACACCCACAACACCCTACAAGCACCCACTGTATTTACAAACATCCACCACATTTACAAACACCCACAACACCCTTCAAACACCAACAAACACCCTACAAACACACACTGCATTTACAAACACCCTATAAACACCCACCACATTTACAAACAGCCATAAAAACTCACCTCAATTACAAACACCCACATCATCTTACAAACACTTAATGCATTTACAAACATCCACAACGCCCTACAAACACGCACCACATTTACAAACTTCCACAACACCCTACAAACACGCACCACATTTACAAACACCTACAACACCCTACAAACACCAACAATATTTACAAACACCCACCGCATTTACAAACACCCACAACACCCTTCAAACACCAACAAACACCCTACAAACACACACTGCATTTACAAACACCCTATAAACACCCACCACATTTACAAACAGCCATAAAAACTCACCTCAATTACAAACACCCACATCATCTTACAAACACTTAATGCATTTACAAACATCCACAACGCCCTACAAACATGCACCACATTTACAAACCTCCACAACACCTTACAAACACGCACTACATTTACAAACACCTACAACACCCTACAAACACCAACAATATTTACAAACACCCACAAAACCCTACAAACGCACGCAGCATTTACAAACACCCTATAATGACCCACCGCATTTACAAACACCAGCAAACACACACATTTACATACACCCACAACATCCTACAAACACTCACCCCATTTACATACACCCACAATACCCTACAAACACCCACTGCATTTACAAACACTCACCTCATTTACAAACACTCACAACAACTTAGAAACACGTACTGCATTTACAAACACCCCACAAACACAACCATATTTACAAACACCCACTGCATTTACAAACAATCACGACACCCTACAAACACCCACCACATTTACAAATACCCGCAACACCTTGCACTCACCACGTTTACAAACATCATGTCAAACACCAACCGTATTTACAAACACCCACCTCATTTACAAACACACACAGCACCCTACAAACATGCACCACATTTACAAACACCCTACAAACACCCACCGCATTTACAAACACCCACAACACCTTAACAACCACATAGCAAATTGCTAAAAAAAAAAAATACAGCACACCCAAGTATCTGCATAGCAACACCTTGGCAACTACCCACAACACGCTAAAAACCAGTAATGCATTTACAAACACCCAAAACACCTACAAACACCCACTGTATTTACAAACACCCTTAGCAGCCGCAAAGCAACGCCTTGGCAACCAACCACAAAATCCTAGCAACTACATAGCAATGTGCTTAAAAAACATGCAGAACAACATAGCAACACCTTGGCAGCCACCCACAACATTCGAGGATTGTGACAAGGAGTTTTGTACTACGCAGATTATTTTGTGAAATGTAAAATAAGATTTAAATTCTGTAAAAATATGTATTTTTTATCATAATTACAAACCCAGTTATTAATTATAAATTATTTTATTTTTTCTGTTGTAGAGTATGGAAATTGAGGTGGATGAGAATGGCACCTTGGACTTAAGCATGAAGAAGCCTATAAAGAGAGAAATGGGCATGTCTTGCGCCAGCCCTGAAGTGCGTTCCCCTGATCTGTCTTCATCATCTTCATCATCATCCACATCTTTTCACCATGGCAACAGCAGCATCTCACCCCACTCTTTACACACCCATAAACAAGAGGAGTGGGAGGGGCCTCTGGACTACACCAAACCCAATCGGCAGAGAGAAGAGGAGCTAGAAGAGGTACAACCGTTTCCTGTTTAATTTAAATGAGGCCGGATCTATCTATTGTTGTACAAACCAGCATAATATTCATTGTATCTTCGCACAGATGGACCACAGCACTCAGTCATTTACCTCTTCCGACCCGGAGGATTGCGACATGATGCATGACAGCCTTGAGGACAGGAAGTACCCCGGAGAGGTCACAACCCCCAGCTTTAAGGTCAGGTTCCAGCCCAAGGACAACAAGAAAGAAATCCTACTGTAAGTCACATCTAATTTGCATCCATTTCTGTGCACAAATTGATATTCGGCACAATGGAATCATTTCACTCAGTCAGGCTTTTGTGTTTGTCCCTTGCAGGTGTCCCACTCCGGGCTGTGACGGCAGCGGACACATCACCGGAAACTATGCATCGCATCGCAGGTATACAGTGTCCGGGGGTCACCTCTCTGTACTTATTTTGCCTTCAAAGGGGAAATATAAAATAAAACAAGACATCACATAGATGTTATCTTTCGCTTGCTTAACTCTCGCCTGCTCTTTGCTTTTTACGCTGACTTGGGACGTTCTGGGTTCTTTCACTTTATCTTCCCCTTCTCTCTTTTTTCCCCCTTGTTTCTTCTCAACATTTTTAGCCTGTCTGGGTGTCCTCTCGCTGATAAGAGTCTTCGGTCCCTCATGGCAGCCCACACAGCCGATCTCAAGTATGTCTGCTCTACTTCTGATCTTGTCCTTTGTTCTTGTTCTTGCTAAATTCTGCTTTTACTCTTTTCTTGATATGAAAACAGTACAGTACTTAAGACTCAACTTAATATTATTCTAAAATTACACCGTGACCCTGCTCTTGGTCAAGTTTATTTCAGGTATTATAAACCAACACATTTAACGTTTGACTTCACTTTCCCAGATGTCCAACTCCAGGATGTGATGGTTCAGGCCATATCACTGGTAACTACGCGTCTCACAGAAGGTATGGCCCACTGAACAATCCCTCCCACATACATACCAATACACAAACAGGACAGAGAAGTTTAGTGATAGCTGTATGTTAGACACACACAAGTATATGCCACACTTCATTTATTGCCCGTCCCCATTTATTGAATAATATTTTAGATAGGAAACAGACCCCAGATCTTGTGTAGTTTTCTTTCTACTCTGTTTATCTAAAAGCTTGCTGAGGCCACTGTTTCCTAACCAGGCACGAGATATCAAGCAGTAAATCCCATGTATTGCATATGCTGTGCTCAGTAGCCCTGGCTACACTGAATTATCATTGGCCCAAACTCCTACTCCACATAGCTATTGAGAGATTCAGGTAAATTTGGCCACTTTTTGCCATCTCAATGAGGAAAAGTGTCCCAATTTACCTTATATTACGTATCAAATATGTTTCGATTGGCTGTGATTTTGTTGCATCATGTAGCATTTCACTTTCAGCATGAAATTGCTGGAGACTCGTTGCATCGTGCCTGGTTAGGATATGGTGTATGCTTGCATCTTTCTTAATAGTATTTGAGTTTGGTTTCTCCTGCATTGCTTTGGGTCAGTAGTGCTGGATCCTTATTATTCTGAGTTTCTAGCTCCTCTGATCATGAGCTGCATACTCTCTATTTTCAGTTTGTCTGGGTGTCCACGGGCCAAGAAAGGTGGAATAAAAACAACTCCCATCAAGGACGACAAGGAGGACTCCGAGCTCTTAAAGTTCGTACTGCATAGAAAGCCCAAGGCTTTTCCCCCTTTCTTACTGTACGGTAAAAAAAGACACAATTTAGGCGGGATATTGTAATGGAATGATCAAATGTTGGATAATAGGTTTGTCCAACCACACAGTCATTTAACAACAGTGTAAAGCAGTTTAGAAAACCCCTCTTCATTCAAACAGAAGTGATTTAATCAAGCATTTCCATCTAGAACCACTTGTGATCCCAAAATACTGCTTGTGTTCTACTTTGTTAAATATCACCTTGGCAACCTTCCAAATCACTCACTCGTACATGAGCTTATGAGTCAGTGCATGGAGCCCCGCATGGCCAACTAGCACTAGTGATGTTCAAATTATTTTGGGAAAAGGCCTTGTGTGTTTTATCCCATTGTACAACTTCTAAAAGCATGAAGACAAAGACGCCTAGTTACACTGCTGAGGAAATAGAAACTGTGAACAATATATTACAGCACAGATGGCTCATGGTGTATTGAAATATTGCACATGTTTTTGTTTGTAAGTCATCTGCAGTGCAATGTGTGGGTTTTTGTCTTCTTGGTTTTTTTTTTGCGACTGCCAAGCGTAGGAGCTTTTTATCCACATGATTCCACTCCAGTCAATGAGCAGCCGGCATATGGTGGCACTCAAGCTCCCCAAAGTGTAAAAATGTCTTTCTTCAGTTTATTTGAATGTTGTAATATTCACACTCACTGTTGGGCAAAGTATGTAGCTAAATATGACCCTCTTTACAAAACTGAATAGAGACTTGAGTGAGACAGAGAGTAAACAGATGGTAACTGTAGTCAATAGCAAGGTGATATTTCTGCTCTCACAATCTCAAACCACACTCATATGTTTTATTCCCTCTATCTTCATCTTTTTCCTTCTCTCACAGATGCCCAGTGCCGGGTTGTGACAGCCTGGGTCACATCAGCGGGAAGTATGCCACTCACCGCAGTGCGTATGGATGCCCGTTGGCGGCCAGGCGGCAGAAGGAGGGTTTGCTGAACGGGTCTCCATTCTCATGGAAGGCCTTTAAGACAGAAGGCCCAGCCTGTCCCACACCAGGATGTGACGGATCGGGACACGCCAACGGCAGCTTCCTCACACACCGCAGGTACTTGAATGGCGAGAATATAGTTTTGACAGCTATGTTAAATTTGTACATTTATTTGAAATTTACAACCAGTGGAGTGAGTTTGGGTGGGAAACCTGTTTGGAAACAGTCATTATTTTTGCACTAAAAGTGCAGTCACATTATTGGGGCCCTATTCCGATGGGACTAGTTTTTCAAGAGGAGTTTAGAGAGATATGTCAGAATCCATGTTTTTCTCACACAACCACTATTAAAATTCTAGAGCAAATTACCTACTGTTTTTCGCCAAACTCAGTGGTCCTTTGAGAAATCTAATCCTGTCCAAATGCATACGTCTGTGATTGTTGTTCCCATCGGTACTTTTCATGTCTTTTTACTAACCTGACCTATTGTTGCTTTTGCATTTTAAACCCTTCAATATGGGTGGCATCCGACAATACAGTTAAAGAATAAATATAAAATTATGGGGAGCCAAATCGTGGAAACTTTATACTGGGAATTTTAATATTAGTGTCAAGATACATGTCTAGATTGCTCTGCTCAGTTACATGGTTTATTATAAGCAGGCACTTCTATAAACTCATGTAAATGAGTCGATAATGTTTTTATAATAAATGGAAATTTTATTTTAAAAATAATTAATTAAAAGATTAGTCACATGTGATGCTCGCTACCACAGCACATGAGCTTCTGTATTGCCCACATGTCCCACTTCTGCAATCAACATGGAGATGTAAGTCCCATGTGAATCTTATATAAAATTATAGATGTGGGTTTGATACGAATTGTAACTAAAACGTTGTTCAGAAATCTAGTCTCATCTGAATAGTCAATAATATAGTGATACTTGAAACACTGTTTACTCAAAGGTCACTTCCAAACCAAGCTGCTTTATGTTGATCAATGTAGTGAATTTCTGTGTTCAAAGTTCAACCAACTTGAAATGTTCGCCTCGCGTGTCAAAATTCCCGTTTCATTGATTTTCCTACAGAATTTAACCATACAAATGTAAATGTGATCGCAGCTAAATAGCACAGAAATTATCTACTCTACTTTTAGGTTTAAGGGTACTGGCCAAGTCTGAGTCATTATGGGACTGCTCATGAAGCAAATGTGCTGTGTTTTGTGTATAATAATGAAACAATTGTGTTTGGCCCCAGTCTCTCAGGCTGCCCCAGCGCCTCCCTTAACAAGAAGAAAGCCAAGTTCCCTGGAGAAGAGTATCTCAGCACTAAGTTCAGAGCCAGTGACGGTGAGACATCCCACATTTCTTCTATATTTTACCTCCAACCTCACTTCTGTAATATTTTGTGAGACACTAAATGTGACAACATTTCTCTTTCTCTTTACAGTGTTAGACAATGATGAAGACATCAAGCAACTCAATAAAGAAATCAACGAGCTCAATGAATCCAACAATGAGATGGAGGCAGATATGGTCAACCTTCAAACACAGGTTAGCCACACATCTCCTGACAATCTAAAAGAAGAGAGACTAAAGACTACCACATATATAAAAAAGCAACATCATGATATTACCATGTTTTTTGGAGCATAGGAAGTTGAAATAATCAGCTTTTTTGGTTATTTAGATTACATCCATGGAGAAGAACCTGGAAAACATCGAGCAGGAGAATAAGATTATTGAAGAACAGAATGAGGCATTGTTTATGGAGCTGTCTGGACTCAGTCAAGCTCTTATGCGGAGTTTGGCCAACATCCGTCTGCCTCACATGGTAAATTACACAAACTCCTACAGCAGCTTCCATAACTTTCCTCTCCTACATGAATTAGACACACCTTTTTAAATCCAACGTTCCCATTTCCGTTTTCCTTTGCAGCAGGAGCCAATCACAGAACAGAATTTTGAGAGCTACGTGAGCACCCTGACCGACATGTACACCAATAAGGACTGCTACCAGAACCCAGAGAACAAGGCCCTTCTGGAGACCATCAACAAGGCGGTGAAAGGCATTAAGGTCTGACTAAGCCAAAAGACGAGGATGAGAAGCAGAAGCGTGGAAGAAAAATAGAAACATGGAGCCATTGAGAAGATTATACAAATGAAACACAAAAAGGGCATTCAGGTTTTTTTGAACAACAATCTAAACCTTCATCCCAGGGAGCATTCTGTGAGTTCAAAAAGAGGTATATAATATATATTACTATGAGGACCAAAATCCACAAATGCTGCTGGATTGGAAGGTGAAGATGGAGCCAAATCCTTTATTTACGGAGGAAAGGAGAGACACAAACATAGTTTTCTTTACAGTTTTTGTTGTTTTACATTCAAACAGTGGGAAGTTTTGGAAGAAGAGGAAGCTGGGAGTAGAACTTCCAGAAAATGTGCAGCTCAGGCTTTAGGCGAAAGAGAGTCTTTTACTCATTTGTGAGAACGCTGCTCCTCTGAAAACAACAAAAGTGACGCTCCAAATACAAGTGATCCCTACGTGAGTCCCAGCAGAACAGACATATGCAGTGTTTGCTCGTCTTTCATTCTTTTCCAGAAGAAAACCGAAGCATTTTTGGGTCGTGGGGAAATTAGAGAATGTTGTACTAGCATACAAAGTGAGCGAAAAGCGTGTGCAACCTTATCAGTGCCATGCAGTTGACTCTGTAAATTTCACCCTGTTGAAACACTAATTTATCTCGGCAGCCATTTTTTTGTTTATTGGTTTGTTTTGTTTTAGAGATACAGGCAGGAGTATTAGCTTGCTCTCGTTTATTTGTAGTACTTACACTGTAGGAATATTTACCCAGCGTAGTCATATCTCTTACATATGAACAATGAGTTGCACTTCGTTTCAGTCCATTCAACATCAGACAAGATGTTGGGTTGTCACTGATCTATAAATTATACGAAACTTGTCCAGACACTACTGTAATTTATTTATATTTTGTTATAATTTAATTTTAACTGTATTATTTATTTGAATTCACCTATTTAAATATTCACAGTCCTTCTGTTTATAAAAGGTCATGAAAATGTGACAAGAAACTTGCCACATCAATATTTGGAAAGAGAAAAAGAAATGTACCACTAATTTTTATAACTTCTTTTCATTTGACAATAGAGTTTTAAAACATTTTTTTAAGTGCAAATATTTTTAACCAACGTTTTGATAATTCTGTACATTTTTTTTTCTCTTTCTCTCTACCTGTATATCTATCTCTATTTGCATTTTTTTCCCCGAATTTCCAACACAGGTGAAGGAGAAATATCATCTCTATTTATTATTTATTTAATATTTATGATGAAATTATGAACTGTGATACGGTTGTAATGTATATTTATTTTGTAACGTCTCGGTGTGTTTGTGAAGTCATAGTAGTCTTGAAGAAACTTTGGCGATATAAAAAAAATAAAGACAAAAAACATGTTTTGGACTACAGAATAAAACATGATGATTATCGAGGGTTTTCCTTATACCAGCATTACTTCCTATAGGAATGTAAAGAGGAGAAAAAGCAATTCCAGTACTGTCGAACCTACAGCTTTGACTCTTACCCCGTCCGTCTCGACAGGAAGAAGACTTTCCTTTGGATCCTCTTGTGTTTTTTTTTTGTTGTTTTTTTTTTATTTATACCTCCTCAAGCTCTCAGTAGTGGCCAAAAACTGTTTCCCCTGAACAACCCTAATGAATTGCAAATGGATTATTTTTGCTTTCTTGCTAAACTTATCTTTGTTGGACCATGGGAAGCGGGTGGTCGTTTTTGCGGTGGGGCACGGAAGACGAATACCAACCATCCTGACGCAAACTCTTGAACCACAATGTCCTTACTCGACTAGTATCAGACAAGCATACACCCGTGTAGCCTTATACTAGATTTTTATTTCTTCGATGCACAAAGTGCCACTGACCTGTGCTTTCGTTACCGACTCCGCCCATTCAGCAACCACACTACCCTCGGGTCATGTGACCGTGGCATAAGTGGGGATTGTTACAGATGCCTTTATTCCTTTGCCGTGATGGCCATACCTACACAATATATTCATTCTGTATTTAAAAGAAAAAAAAAGAAGACAAAAAAACTATATATAGTATATAAACATACATATATTTTTACAGTGTAATTGTTAACTCTTTTTCTCTTATAATAGCTAAACAAAAACAATATCTTTCCAAAAGCTGTGAGTACTACTATTCATAGAAGACTAAATAATATAAAAAAGACAGACCCAGTTTACTGTGGTTGCAGGATACGATGTGTTTTATAATATGTAAACGTACATTTCTAAAGCGAAGAATACGAGGATGTTTGTAGAGTTTCCTATTTTCTGGTCCAAACTCGCTGGGCCTCTGTATGTAAGTCAGCCGCATTAATGGGACAATGGTTAACAGATTAGTCTTAGGCTGTAATCGTTTAGACGCATTGTACTGTGCTGAAAGTTCTCCTCGGTGGATCTGTCTTTAATATTGTATGGTGTTGTGCAGTTCTGGTGGGACACGCCACACTTGGATACATGTGTAAAATGCCAATCATCGCAATGACATCTGTATGACTCATAATAGCGAGTTGTGAAATGAGCATTGTGCCTCTATTCAGCCAGTCGTTTCGTTAAATAGTACACAGCGGTCATGTTGTTCATTTGCTATTATGGCAGCAATATTGTGATGGACAGAACATGTGTGCACTTTTCAAAAATCTTGAATGCCAACTAATGACCTTTCAACCAAAAGGTTTTTCTTTATGTGCACGCGAGTGTGTTAGTGGATTATTTTTCATTTGAAAAAAGGTACAAATGGCTAACAGACAACTGTTCATTGCACCAACAGGATTGGGATCAAATATCGCAAATGTCTTTGACTTGTTTGTTGTTGTTTAATGTGAACCTGTATCCTGTCTGAAATGTCAAATGCCCTTTGACAGACATGTTTTTGCCTTGTCGCCAATACAAAAAAAGTCCAAAATCGGATGTGCGGTATCAGATCTGTTAGCTTTCGGCAACAAGCTCTTCGTTAAAACGAAAAAAAGATGTGGTTTGAGCTCTGAGATTGTCATTGGCCTGCCCTCGCGCATGGAGAAAACGAAGGAGACGCTAGTTGCATAAATCTTTGTCCATTTCCACAGAATGTCAGATCGGCCTCATTCGCCTCGTTCTGTGTAACCTTTCCGCAGGAAAGACGTGTGCGTTGCATTTCAATACCACAGCATTTCCTTTGCTTTAAAAGCAATCTGAAGGCGTTGTCTATCCGTAACGGCAGAGTTTTCATTAGAGTTCTTCATTCTATTAAATTGCGTAGAGGGAATACTCACTACAGATGTCATTTCGTCTTATTACGATGGGAGAAATATTTCTATCTGCTTATTACTACTGACGTGAGATAGCCTAAAGCATGTGTGAATTATTCTTCCTCGATGCATGCTTCTTAAACGCCTGCTGTCGGTGATGAAGAGTAGCTACGAATGTTGCTTGGCGAGGTCGAGTGTGTTGAATCTGCCTAATAATGTAGCATGTTCTCTGGAGCAGTGTAGAATCTGCAAATGCAAGTTAGCATATGTAACCCCTCCCCGTGGAACCAAATAAGGCTTGATTTAGCACCTTGTACTTGAGAGTCCGGCCTTTCGGAGACTTGTGCCAACTGTAGGTCAATTAAAACGGTTCCTCTGTCATTTCATGAGAAACGATAACAGCTAAAAAGTCGGAAGGCACTGTTTGTCCCATTAAGCTGATAGAACCAAAACGGCCCTCATTCTGTAGGTACTGTAGCTTACAGCTCTGTGGTTTTCTCATGTGTGCCTTTTCTCGCTTCTGTTCGCTGCAGGAAAGGGTGTGTTTACATTTAAGGACTGGGTTCAAATCCCACTCAGGATGCCAACTTTTTCTCCTTTTTTTCTTTTCCTTCCTTGTTTTGAGGGGGAAGAGGTAATAGGAATTCAGCAAAGTGGTGAACATCAAGAGCGGATCGCATTGAAATCGATATTCAGCTTGTTGTTCGACATGAAATAAATCACAATACGTAACACTATTCTTCCCAAAACTGTGATTCTGATTCAGGTATGAAATTGTGTGGTGGGTCATTTCATCGAGTCTGAAATAATCATGGAACGTATCACAGATGAAGCATTTATGCACAGGGCATTATTCTGACAACAATGGGATTCTGTACATTTGTAATAAAGGACAGTGTTGTTGTATTAAAGAATATTTCCAAGTAAATGCCGAAAAAAAACTTGTATTTTAACCCACGGCCAAGGCTTGTCCTCTTGCGTCCTTTTTACAGAGATCAGCTATTTTTACTGGTGATTTTGTAGCCACAAAATGATTCTCCTTTAGAAAATGAAAAAAAAAAAAGAAATGGTACTTCCAATAATAATAATAAGCACTATCACAGTGATAGACTACATGTTTTAGTCACTTTTGTAGCAGTGGTAGTTTCCTTACCGAGGTTTTGTTTCTGTAGAGCAGGACAAGCTATGGCTGTGCGTGATTCGAGGTAACTTTGGAAATGAAGTGTGTAGTTGGTTTTGGATTGTGACCGTGTTTGTGTATCCTTGTACCTGTGCTCATTGATATCAGTGTTAAAAGAGAACAATAATGTCTGTTTTGTGGAGGTATCGTTCATTTCAGTGTTATATATGGAAAACATAAATAAAGAGTCAATAATGTGATCTTTCTGAGTATACTCTTCCTACATGATGTGCGTGTGTGTTTGTTTTTGCTTGTTAAAGTCAGAAATACAAACACAAGTTACATTTTTGGTTTCACATTTTTTTTTAGTCACTGCATGATTCCATCTGTCTTGATTCATCGATTTGATAACTGAAATTCAGAAAATAATAAGTGTATGCCAATTGACTAGTCTTTTCTTTTATATATTTCATCTTTGTCAGCATCATGATAGTGCTAGCTGTGATGAGAGATTTTTACAGTCTGTGTGGCTTATAAATTAGTCTTTTTATAGACTGACAACAAACAAATGGAAGTATGCCACCATTTGTAAATCTAAGCTTTTTTACATTCTGACCTCTGCTGGAGACAAAGACACACTACCACACTCAAAACAATACTATCTCAGCATAATGATTCATATGAAACTTTACAGCGGTGTCTAATAACGACACTCGTTTCAGAAGTGGGATGAAATTATATCCGCATTGCTGATCTACCTGACAGATATATTTAGGTTACTGCATTTAGATAAATCAGGCTGAATCTACAGGTGCTTAAAAAGTTTGGAAGCATCACTTATTTGCGCCGAATGATTTTATTTAACCATTATTGTTCATAACAATAAGGAGAAAAATATGAAAATAACTGTCCTTTGAGTGCTCTGACACGAATATCAAATTGTGTATGAGGGATTTTGACTGTATGTTCTACTGGTGTTTCGTTCGTGAACGAATATGTACTTGAATGAATCTTTTTAGTAAACGAAACGTTTCTGTTTCATGCAGTGGACGCATTTTATTCACTGTTGTGTCCTACCTTCAATAAAGAGCGATCTGTGAAGAAGCATTTGTCAGGTCGACGAGTCTGTGTTCGGAGTCTGAACAAGATTCGGAGCGGAGCGGCGCTGAACGAGGCATCTTTGTATCTGACCGACTGAACGAGTCTTTGTTGTCTTGTTGGATAAAATGGAGAAAGAAAATCGTACAGTAGATATTATATTATTAAAAAAACGCTTATAATACTTTTTAATAATTTTTTATAAAGTATAAGACCGTTGGAACAAATGACAGAATTTAATGAATCTTTTAAAGAATCAATTGAATGAATGATTCATTGGCTCACAACACAGAATCAAAACTCTCTGATTGCCTCAGGCGAAACAATGATGACTACTCAACCACTACTATTGTTTCTCCTTTTTTCTTGTATTTTTAAATGCCATGTGTGTTTGGTAAGTTTTTTTTTTTAAACAAACCAACGCTTGAATCTCAATTTAAACAAATCTTTTTGGTGAAAAGATTTAAAAGAATCGAGTCACTAAGGTGAATCGAATCTCCACGAAATGCAGCGACAATGCATTTGACGTCATTGTGCGTGTGACGTCAGTGCGTCAGCTGGTTTATGTTTACGTCGCATCAATTTTTTCGCAGTCAAGCTAGACCTTATTGTGCCCGGATCCAAATACACGACATACGCGATAATGTAACTAATCG